TACCAACCCACTAATTTTTATTATCGATTGTCATATTAGGTTGTCTTCATCCCTGATTACAATGTCAGTGTTGCTGAACAGTTAATTCCTGCAAGTGAGCTCTCACAGCACATCAGGTAATGCGGTCTTATTCGTTATATGATTCTTACTTTTGCTGGCCACATGATTTTTCTGTCTGCGAGGGGTAAGTGGAGAAGCATCAGTATTGGTTTTAAAAAATTTCCACTGCTTAAGTTTTAAGCAATAATTGATAGTTTAGTAGAAAAAAGGGGTTTGGCAGGGTTTGCGAGAATAGCCAATAGTCAAATTCAAGCAGATTAGCTGGGGAAGTTATAGTTTTTGCCGTAGCCAACTTGAAGTACATCGATTACACTTGTAACTTGTAGACCAGAGAGTTCAGAGTGTTGTGTATTAAATTAAAAATCTAGGTGAGCCTTCCTTGTGCTGGATAATATATCATGGGATCTTACTCGTACAAGGCATGGAGCTTGAGCGGGAATGACTTCAGTGGAACTGATTGAAGCTAAACATACGTGCAAACCAACTGTTATGTTATTTCGACCTTTATTCAATTGTTATTTATTTTGTAGTACCGCGGGGATGGAGGCCAGTGGAACCAGCAACATGAAGTTTGCAATGAACGGCTGCATCCTAATCGGGACTCTGGATGGTGCCAATGTTGAAATAAGAGAAGAGGTTGGAGAAGACAACTTTTTCCTATTTGGTGCTGAAGCTCATGAGATTGCTGGGCTGAGAAAAGAACGAGCCGAGGGGAAGGTTTGTCTCAGTAACCAAATTGTTACTTTCATTCCCATGTTATTGTTTAAGAACTGCCTTTGTGATGCAATTTTGATGTCTCTCTTTATGCAGTTTGTTCCAGACCCACGTTTTGAAGAAGTCAAGGAATTCGTCAAAAGCGGTGTTTTTGGGTCAGACAATTATGACGAACTGATTGGATCCCTGGAAGGAAATGAAGGATTTGGCCGTGCAGATTATTTCCTCGTCGGCAAGGACTTCCCCAGTTACATAGAATGCCAAGAGAAGGTTGATGAGGCATATCGAGACCAACAGGTGAGATAATTCGCGGCATACATTCCTCCTTGGTACTGATACATCGCCAGCATACATTTACTCTGCTGAATCTCAACATGTTTTATAGCCCTGAGCACTAATGTTTTTACCTGATGTTTTCTGGTGACAGAGATGGACGAGAATGTCGATCCTGAACACAGCAGGCTCGTACAAGTTTAGCAGTGACAGAACCATTCACGAATATGCTAATGACATATGGAACATCAACCCCGTCGAGTTGCCATAGAAGTTTCTGCTCGTAACCAAACACGGTCTTACCACGTTGTTGTGATGATCCTCGGATTTTATTGTTCCCTCTCTCTCCTTCTCATGCAAAGGTAAACTGCTCGGAATAAAAGGGCAGCGTTTGGTTGCTACACTATTACCTTAAATGGTCGGGAAAAAAGCGGTTTTTTTAAATAAGCACCACCATCTCGTTTGGTTCAGTAAGAATTAGTTTTTTTTTTGTAACACGAAGACAAGTTGTAAGAGGGAAAATGTACTGGAGCAAAACAAATGAGTTAGCTCTCGTTTGGCACACCGTGTAGCACCCTGGATGGTACTAAATAATATGAACCTAGTGTTTGTTGGCATCATGTATAAATTGATCGCCGAATAAAGTTAGCTGCTTGATGGCTTTTAGTACTCTCTACATCCGTTAGTTAGTACGCTAAAAAAGCTCGGTATAATATAGTAATAAATTTAGAAACGTAACTTGATTTATAATGCAATCAAGCACTTAAGCCTAGTGTTTGTTGTCCTCATGTATAAATTAATTGCCGGATAAAGTTAGCCGCTTGATGGCTTTTAGTACTCTCTACACCGGCTAGTTAGTACGCTTAGGGTGTGTTTGTTGCACCGGACTGTCTTGGACTGGATTAGCTTCAGGGACTAAGTTGGACTGGCTTAGACTAGATTAAGCTGGACTAGTTTAGTGAAGCGTTTGGTGTAGTGTCGGACTAAGAAGTAGGATAATAAGAAAAATGAAAAAAAAAACCCATGATATATTACAAAATATTTTATTTTCTTCAACTTCAATTCCAACCAAATATTAACGTTATTCCTGTTAAACATTCCATCTTCTCTATGTTCAAAGTATGTTGGTGTCACTCAAATACCGTATTTAATCCAACCTCCTTCTTCTAGCAATTGCCACTAGTGCCATCTACCATACTAGATATTGCAAATTCTTGAGATTTCAGAACCAACAATTGATAATTTGTTTCACACTTAAACAAAAACCCATCCACAACAAAGCAACCCATCACAATTTTTCCCCAAAAATATCAAATTTACACAAAAGAATCCATGTGGGTTTTGCAAATAAGGAAATATACCAACAAGAACAAATAATACAAAAGACATACATCAGATCTAGCAAAAACATATACATACATATATGTGTGCGTGTATGTACATGTGTGTATATATATACACATATATATACAAACCCAGAAAATGGGGCTTTCTATAATCTCAGCTTAAATTAGAAAGAACCACCATTGCAAACACCATTAAACCAAATGGAACATATTCAAAAAGCTGAAATTCATATTATATTACCAAAAAAATAAGCAAATCTGAGGAAGATTGAGGATATATCGCATTACATCTTTCCATCTGAAAATATCAGTTCTTTGTGCCCAGATGGACTTCGCGGCCATCATCATCTGAATTCAACCTCCTTCTGAGCGAGCTGACGCAGTGCTACGGCGGTGGTAGCCATCGTCGAGACTTAGATAGAGAGAGCGGGAGATGACCTTGGGAAATGGAGTGGGGTGGCGCCGGCATCGATCTAGGCCTCAGATCGAATCGACCCATCGGTGGGTGCTAATTCGATTTTGGGATTTAGGGGTGGGTGGTAATGAGATAGAGCAGGGAGAGAAAAGAAGATCCATGCAGGGAAGGAGTGGAGGATTTGACGTCGAGGTCGTTGATTACGATGAGTAGTGAACAGACGAAGCAGACGAAGGAAAGGCTTAGTAGTCTGCTGCATTTTGAGGGGTTTCGCTAAGAACCTCTAACGAAGTCTCTAGTCGAGGCGAATCCCGTTTAATCCCACTAAAACTAGTCCCTGGGATTACCAAACACGGAACTACACTAATTTTTAATGTAGTCCAATCCAGTGAAGGCTAGTGAACCCAAACAAACACCCCCTTAAAGAGCTCGGTATAATATAGTAAAGAATTTAAAAATGTAACTTAATTTATAATGCAAGACCTAGAGTATTCCCATTTGAAATTAAGCCCACCCCTACGATTAGGCTGGGCCGGTCCATGACCTACAAAATAGGATTGATCCCCGCTAAATGTGAATTAAATACTACAAACGATTCTAATTGTAACATCCTACATCGTCCAGGAGAGTGAATCTTGTAAGCCTTCTATGTATATTCCCATCTCTACCTAGCACGAGATTTTTTGGGAGCTCACTGGCTTCAGGTTCCATCGGAACTCTGAAGTTAAGCGAGTTTGGGCTGGAGCAATCCCAGAATGGGTGACCCACATTGCCCAGCGGAGTGGATCTTGTAAGCCTTATATGTATATTCCCATCTCTACCTAGCACAAGGCCTTTTGAGAACTCACTGGCTTCGGGTTCCATCGGAACTCCGAAGTTAAGCGAGTTCGGGCGAGAGCATTCTCAGGATGGGCAACCCATTGGGAAGTTCTCGTGTGACTTTCCAGAAACAAAACTGTGAGGGTGTGGTCGGAGCCCAAAGCGGAAAATATTATGCTACTGGTAAAGTTGAGTCCGGTATGTGATGGGGGCCGGGCCAGGGATGTGTCACTAATACACAAGAAGAGAGATTCAAAGTAAAGTACAAGAAGCGAACATGTTAACCTCATAGTTACTAACTCACCTAATTCGCATATGCATTTTCATGCCCATTTAGGATGTTTGTCTAGTCTTTTAGAAAAAAATGAAGACTGTCCCTGAGCTGTAAGTGCAATGCAAGACTTAGATCTTGCTTTCTTGCACATTGGTTCTAGTAAATTGCAATGAATTGTGGGCAAGTAGAGAGAGAGAGGGAGAGAGAGCCAAAGTCTCACATCTTAAATTGTTTTTTTTTTTTGAGAGCATTGCAAGCACATGGCCAGAAGAGTACAAAGATTGAATCAAGTAGTGAACCCATCTACACTCACATGATCTACCATTTTTTGTGTGCATATATATGGCACAAAAGTTTTGCATATTCAATTCTGTTGTGTGCATCTCTGCAAGTGGGTGGGCAACTTCACTCCTCTCATGAACCTAAGGAAAAACATAAAAAAAAGGCCCACCCCAAACCAACAAGACTTTTTGATTTGCGAGAGTCACGGGGCAGGAGGGAGGAGGGGGTCTATCATACGTTGTCTTACCTCATGTTACTCTTAATTATAGCAAGTACTAAATTCTCACTATCATATAAATACGTACTAAGTTATTTGTGTATCTATAATTTATACATGTTCGTGCCCTGAAAAATCAGCTTATTTGAAGCGTACTGAAAGCCAAGCTTATAAGTCAAAGATTGGAGTTCTTAATGCCTTAGATCTAGGATGTAACTAGATTTTTGAGTTTGAAATGTACTTTAAGTTGTGCAGTTGAACTGCTTTCTTTTGGGTCAAGGCAAAGGCATCTCTAGTTACTTGCAAAAGAAGATTAATACATAGAGGGAAAGAAGTAAATAATACGTATGTTATGGTTTGTCATGTATTATGTATAATTGTCTTATTTAGATAGTTTTCACACTGATTGAGACCATATAATCGAGCAGAATCACAATACAAGGCGGTCCTATACTTTGTGAGAGGTGCCCGACAAATGATATGGTCGGAACACCCTACACAAGTTATAAAAATTATTTAACTGTCTCAATCCTCACCAGCGTTTCTCACACTGTGAACTTCATTTTCAATCACCATCCCCACAAAATGGCCAAAACAATGTGGCAGAAAAAGGTCACCAAAATGAGGTGTTCTGTTCAAACTTTGTGGACTTAAAAGCAAAAGAATGGAAAAAAGAAGGTAAAAAAGTAACATTTCTGCTCATCTGTTGCCGTATATTGACAGTTTTTCAAATGTAATACAGTTCTAAAGGACAGAAAATTCATATTTCAGGCAATAAGTTCCAAAAATGTATCAGTCAGCTGCAGTTTTGGAACCATATATGAATATATTTCCACATGGATAGTAAAATCCAGAAATTGGACAAAAAATTCCTGGGTTGCTACCTAAGCTATAAAGAGAAGCTTTACCACTTGAAACTTCAAAAGCTGCTTTTGATGGAATCACTTCTCAGTTGGGCATCAGATCCATCAACAGCTCCTGCTTATGTTCATTTCCAGGCCACCAGGACTTAAAATCAACATCACCATTTTCGATTGGACGGCTAAGATCAAATGCATCGCAGATGTCGGAAATCTGCTGCTTCAGCACTCTGGACTCTTCTGCACCTGTCTCGTGGTCTTTGCCGAAATGAACTCTCTTGTGGCCACCCAAAGCTTGGCCTGTTGCAAACACCTTCAAGCAGATGGAGCACTTGTGACCCTTATTCTCAATAACTCTTTCCATCTCCTCTTCTGCTGCTGAACTATCACTGCATTCAGTCTTGGCAAGCTTGCAACTGTACTCCATCTTCGAAAACTTGTTAGTCGGAATTCCATCTTCATAATCCTCAATATTTACCACAGAAGTGGTGTTGGTTGATTTGTGAACTCTTTGGTGGCCTCCAAGTGCCTGATACGTGCCGAAAACCTTGTTGCAAAGCCTGCACTTGTGCTCTCTTTTCTTCTGGGAATCAGCAAAGACTTCAGATTCAGTAGCATATAACTTGGGTTTATTATTCAAACCTGACTTCATTGATCTGAATGCTGCTACATCCGATTCTACTTCCTCGATAATATCCACATTCATTTCCATTTCAGTATCACGCAACCCAAATACAGATTCCTCATCCAGTCTCGCCTCTTATATCCTACACCCCTGAAGAACCTATCTTCCATTTCGACATTTTTTACCTCAGTCATTCGCAAACCCAGAATTATTTTCGCTAAATTCAAATACTTTCTTCTCAACGGAGACATTCTTACAATCAGAAATGCAATCAACCAATTTCACAGTATCATCACAAACCGATACACCACCCTTATTTCCCATGATCCAATTCTTTAAGCCTGGTGATTGAACCTCTAAAGACAAGGAATTATTATCCGAAGACTCAGTGACCGAACTAATTCGACCCCAATTGCTTCCACAACCAGATATGATCATCAAACAAATTGCCCCCTCTACTACTTCTTCCCCAAATTCAGCGACATACTTAGATTCATTAACACTGAAACTAGAAAAAGAACAACTGGAATTAGTAATCTTGTACCTCAATCTTTTCGATCTTTTCCTCCGAATCAGCCCCATCGTCTCACTGCTGTACTGACAGCAATCCACAGAAAGCTTCTTGCTTGAAGAAACAGTCTCCAATCCATCAGTTCCCCTAATACTTTTCGAGTGGCATCTGCTATGAGTAGCTAAAGCTCTCAACGTTTTGAACCCTTTACCACAAACTTCGCAGGACTGCGTCTCCTTCCTCTCCCTCCCTGAGTGATGCCTCATGTGCCCGAACATCGCTCTCATCGAATCAAACCCTTTGCCACAAACCCTGCACCTGCAGACGATCTCTTTTTCTTCCCCTGCAGAAGCTTCGAACTTCGAGTGCCCTGAAAATTTCCAGGACTTTTTCGGGTTCACTCGTAATCCATAACCAGCGTGATCATCGTCTTCAACCTCAGAATGTGCTCTGCACATTTCGATATTTTTCTCAGTTTTAGCCGATTTCTTTGCTCCATGGCACCTCATGTGACCTCCCAAGACTCTGCCGCTCAAGAAGCTCTTTTTGCAGTGCTTGCACACATGCTCCATCGTCCTAACCAGAAAAGCAAACGAACCCAGATCCCAAAACCAAGAAGGACTCCAATTTTCCGAGAAAGTTTGAATCTTTCCACCGCATTCCAGAAAAACAAAAACCAGAAAAAAGCTCAAGAAACAGAGGATGCTGAAAACCCAGATCAGAGATGAAGCTTTCTTGCTTCTTTCAAAAGTGATTGGAGAAGAAGCACTTCTTCTGGGTTTTGTAGAATTTGTGGGCAAGAACAAGATCTGGGTCCCTAATCAAAACCTCTCTCTCTTGGGGAAGAAACGATTCAGATTTCAGGGTTTTGGTTTGAGCAGTAAGGTCTCTCTCTTTCTTGGGTGGTGCTTGAAGAAATGTAAATGTGGAAGCCAAAAGGCAAGCAATATCTCTGTAACTGCAGCACTGACTGAGAGTACTGCCTTGCCAGTAGCTGGCAAGACTAGACACAACGAAAAAGAATGAAATTTTTAATGTTGGGAGCTTTCTGGCACCAATCCCTCTCTCTCGCTCTCTCTCTCTCTCTCTCTCTAGACTTTCTCTCTCTAAATGTTTAATGTTCGGAGCTTATGCCTCATTTGGAAAGAGAGAAAAAGAAACGAGATCCTTGCATGAAAGCAAAGCTATACACTACGAGACACCAACTTTTGTCCCACTTGCTCGTATATTTCAAGCTACCAATTTTGCTATTGCTAGCACTATGCTCTAATCTGGCATGGACCTATCACCGGAAGTTGGAGAAATTCTTATGTCAACTTGCCGGATCACAGCACCCGTCCGCCGTAGACACAATCTTGTATCGAGGTCAGATAGATAACATCATTCTAACTCAAATTCAGGAAGTTGGATAGATATAAATTTTCTTATTCATTACGAAAAATCAATTTTTTCTTAATAGAATATTACAATTATTGATAAATGCTTTCCTAACAAAATATATTCATAAATAGAAAGGATTTTCATACTTTTCTTTTCTTCATCTGTCTCATATTCTATATCGAGTCTTAAGATTGAACAAATATTATGATAGTCAAAATACAAAAAAAAAAAAAAAACGTTTAAAGATAAAACAACTGTGTAAAAGTTACACCGTGATTTAAAAATTTACTGTAACACTTTGCAAAAAGTGGGTGACCAAATGAAGAGGGTAAAATGCCCAAAAGAACCCTTCATTTGTGCTGTTGCTTGGGGCGCAAGGTTCAAGAAGTGGGTGATCCTACTTTCAGTGAGTTGTACATTTTCTCTAGTATGGTAAAAAACACTCGAGTGCACAGTCAATTTAACACGTGGAGGTAGCTGGATGGTTAATTTTTATTAACTTTTAAGGAAGTACATTAGCATGCATAAAGTTAATCATTTGGTCACGTCAACAAGATTTTGACATTTAACCAAACTCTTGACCCTCAATTCTTTGTGCATGCCATACACTTTGGACACTACATTTCAAATCCTGGATCTGCTTTTTTCAGTGTGTCCATAGAAAGAGAGTATCGTAGCTTCTAAGTTGTGTCATTGAGAGTTATTGTGTTGTAATATTTTATGAGTATAATATAAGTAATTTGTTTACTTATTTTATCTTTTCAACACTTGTGTTAGAGTTGTGTACTTTAATTTTTCTCAACAATTGTCTGGAAAGATGATAACGTCGGAGGTAGAGAGTTGTGATACCATTGATAATGTGAAAGCAAAGATCCAATACAAGGAGTGCATTCCTCCGGACCAGCAGAGACTCATCTTTGCCGATAAGCAATTGGAGGATGGAAGGACTCTTGCAACATTCTCGCATGCTTCTTTTCTTTTCTTTGGTATATAGATTGAATAAATAAAAGAAAAATCAAACGAACAAAAATAAAGAGATAAATGTTTTCTTTATTCTTAGTGTAAAAATATCAATATACTAAAAAAATAAATAAATAAATAAAGAGACGGAAACAAAAATAGAAAGTGTGAGAAAACTTTATCTTTTACATAGCTATTTTTAATACAAAAGGTACTAAAAGCATCTCCAAAGAAGTTTAGCAAATTTTTTTATAAGTGTTTTTAACGTAACCCATTTAGCACTTTCAAACATAAATATCTTAACTTTATTTGTAGAACCCACCAGTAACCAGTTCCCCCAACATTTAGCTCATTATCGCTTACCGTTTGTTAAAAAAAATCTATAGATGATTTGGAGGCTAATTTAGTATAAAAAAATGTTAAAGTAGATCATAATTTATAAACTACATGATGTGACGGTTGATAATTAAATTCTATTTTTAATAATTTAATGAAAAAAATACTATAATCAATCATCACACCGTGAATCTGCAAAATATAATTTAAAAAAGATAATCCCCGTAACATACTCCTTTAATATGAAACCTTAACTATTTAATAAACGTGGGGATTTTGGGATTGCTGTAGATTCTGAGAAAGCTTACTAGAGAAGTTATGACAAGTATTTACTTCATGTAAAGTTTATTAAATACAAATAATTGACCCAAAAAAATATTAAAAACAAATAATAATATTTCAAAGGATTGGGAGAGACTGAGAGTATCAAATAACAGAGAACACTGGGAAAACGAACACAAAACATAAAACGAATTAACCTCATCACAGATGAATACAACACTTCCAAAATGATAACAGTGTAGAATTCTTCGTAACGAACTTTTGATTCGATTGCTTCGACTGAAAACCGTTTCATTTATGTTACCGTTCTCACGGGACTCATCCTGACAAGGGAAGGCAGGATTTTCGTCTCAAGGAAGAACACGGGTATCGAAATTCTACTCTGTTCACTGAAGGAAGGAGTTTTCCGGCCACGGTTATCCCTTTGACTGGCTCGCGGAGGACATCCATCATGTACTAGAAACCTACATCTGTAGCTTGCCTTCTTCCAAGAAGTGAAAAAAAACCGAAAGAATACTACTTTCACTTTTGAAGGGCTAACCATTTATTGCCAACTCGAAAATCCTTCTTCAGGGTTCTCGAAATCATGAACAGAAGGCTCTACGGAGTTCATACAGCCCAAAGCTGGCTTGAATGAAACAACAGTACAAGGAGTTAGCAACTGTACTGTAGTTCATCGCCGACCGTTGCCATCTTATTATCTAACTGTGCTGATGCAGGTCAATCAAGATACTTCGTGTAATTAAATAGACAAGGAGTTGTTCTACGCTGCAGTCTCTTGCATCATTCTCCCCTTAAGTTGACAACATAATTCAACTTCCTTGCTGATGCTCATATGATGTGCAAGAATCATCTTCAATATCATAATCCTCTCTGTTACTGCTAGGAGTTTTATCCAGAACCAGAGTTTCAGTAGCACCACAATCACCAAGGGGATTCTCAGCATGAGATTCTGGGCCATCATCTATATCGCCTGCATCCTCGTCCGTAATTCCAGCACAACCAACGACATCGGCATTATCATTACAACCATCTACATCATCAGCATCCTCAATTTGTTCATTAAAACTGTCAAAATGTTCTACCTGATTATAGGCAGGAGCATCTAGATTTACAGGAGATTCCACCAATGCGTCCTCGTCATCATCGACCACTCCAAGTTCACATTTTTGCCACTCATCATCATCGCTATCAATGTTTAGAGGGTCAAACCTATTCTGCTCAGCACGCTGACGGAGCATGAAAACATTGAAATAATAGCTGACAAGGTCTTTATGCGGTCGCAAAGGAAAAGCCACTGAAAGATGGTGCCAGAAGTTCTTACCCAATGATGCAGGGTTAGAACGGATGGCATCGTGGAAGGCAAGTTCTTCATCTTTAGTCCATTTATCTGCAACCGCCTCTCCCATTTCATAAAATCCCAACTCTTCAAATAGGCACTCTCCAAGGTCTTCCCTTAATTTCTCTCTTGCTTCCAGGACATGCTGTCTCACACATCTAACAGAACCTGCATCAGCACACATACAGTGGTTTCTAGCTCCCATATCTTCACATAAATAGTTTTCATATGCTTCAAGATCAGGCATAGAAATGATACAGGTACCCATCAGCTTCACCTCATCAACACCAAGGCCCTTGCCGGAAGCATTTGAAAGTTCATGCTGAGGATCCAATTTCTCCAGATGATCTGAAGTGTGTGAACCCTCATGGCCCCATTCTGGAACATGAGCTTGATGCTGAGGTCCGATAGAAACTAGCTTTTGAGGAGGATAATCAACAGGAGATAAGCAGATATCATTCGAATGAAGTAAAGCCCTCAGATGGTTTGCAGGTGCAAAAAATTCTGGGAATAATGACAGATGCCCTGCTGCCTCAGGTCTTACATGAGCTTCAAACAAACTGTTGTTGGCCAACCAAAATCGAGAGAAGCTTCCAGAAGCACCATTTCCAAGTTCTCTATAGGTCTCATTTGAGATTTCAGTTCCCAAGTCACTTGCAAACCCTCCTTCATTTGGACATGTACTAAAACTCCCGTCACCTTCACCATCTTCATATAGTAATTACATCAGCTATAGGATCAAACTAAATATCTACAGAAAATACTCAGCTAATAAAAACCATGCATTAGCCCTCGTAAACATTATATCAACTCACAATAGATAGCACTAACTTGCATCAGAGTATAAAAAACTGATGGCATTATTTCATTTCGAAGGTCAGGTTGTGTTAATGGTCCAGATTAAACTCTAAATTGCAATTCCAGATCCATGGAGCATGTTATACATCTACGTCTTCTAAAGTTTCCGCCAACCATTATATGCACAACTTGGAAATTGAATAATTAGTGACTAATTGACCATCCCACTATTTGGTACCTGAAATTTGAAATTTCTGGGGGGCGCTACTAAAAGGAAAAGTATCTGCAATTGGAGAAGGCTCATCAGCGTATTCCAATTGTCTTGGGTGCTTCCAAGCAACCTCATAAGAATCCTCACCATCAAAAGGCCGTTTGTTTATCATTTTCTCCTGCAAAGTGAAGTCACATTTGAAGTGGAGCATTGAATATGCAACCCAGCATTTTTCCTAATCTAAAACTCCCACCCAAAGCAGAAAGCAGCAAATAAAGATTTCAGAAACGAGAACAAAATAACAATCTACATGAAACTAAGCCTTCTGAATGACTTGACTTAATCAACAGTGTTTGTGCTTTCTCAATAAATATGGACGCCGAATTTGAAACAAAAACCGCATCAGGTACGACAAACTATGGGCATAACACATTGAATACCACCTACTTCCCAACAAGCATCCATCTAGCTCCAGTAAAAAATTCTGTAAAGTTGAAGCTACTTACATCGACCAATTAGACAGTTGCTTAGTATTCAATTCTTTCATTTTTCCTTTCGATAAGTGATAGTGACACATATTCCTTAAAAAAGAACATACGATGTTAACTTCAAAAAATCTACCTTTGCATCATCTTTTGCCAAAAACCATGTTTACACATAATTTGATACCAATTTCTGTACTGCAATATATGCAGGGGCACTAAAAGCAAACAAATATAGTCCACCAGCCAAACAATTATCTAAAATACACAGTAATTTATTTATTTTAAATTTTTTTTAAATGATTAATACTACTGAGCTTAGCTAAAGGAACTGATCCTTACCTGAAAATATGGAGTTCCAGCAACTGACAAAAGCACCAAATAATCAGCTTCTCAAACGTCAAAACCCAAAAATTACTATAATTTTAATTTTAAATACTAACTTACGAGCAATTGAAAAAACAGAAACATGCAGTAAGCTGTTTATCCCCAATTTATACAGACAAAAACAATATAAAATTGGAAACTTCAAAAACCTAAAAATTTCTCAAATTTTCAGATAAATCCGGAAACTTTTGAACGACCCATAAAAATTGGGACGGCGAAAAACTATCAGGCGAACAATTTTTCGCAGATCAGGAAAAAACCCTTTTTCGGATCGAAAACTTTTCTGGAAAATTCAAAACCCTAAACCTAGAATCGGATTGGAGGCACGGCGAGGAATGAAATTGCGATCAACAGGTAGGCAAAAGATCGAATCGAACGATTGGAATATCGAATCGAAGATCGGAGATAGAAATTTGATCGAATCGGAATGAAAGAGATTGGGGATCGGGTGAAATTTTGGCGCTGGCGGGTTTTATAGCCATTTGTGGGTTTTTTCGGTGGCCCGAGGATGGAAACTTTCTTGATGCGAAATTACTGAAAGAGGTAAGGATCTTAGTTAAAATTACGGCGGATGAGCACCAAAAAGATTCTGTCAGGTAATCGTCAGCATAAGAATATTCGCAGCGACTAGCATTTAGACACGTCCCTGTCCAGAGAACGGTTTCATTTTGTTTACAAAATATTCAAAACGGTATGGCGTGTTCCCACATTTTTAATTGAAATCAACGTTTAATTAGGGGTAGGCATAACCACTCAGTATCACGGTCTGGTGGATTCTTCTTCACTTGGAAGTAAGAGATCTTATATTTAAATCTCGTGTATGACAAATTCGATACCAGATTAGGGGAAAGAGATCTTCTTTAGATATCTTCCACCAAAGCCGGCTGATCAAGTGATCTGAATTCTTGAAATTTGATCTAACGGCTAAAAACAGAGGGCCCTTTTAAAAGCTATAATAATTTAGCAGTTGGATCAAATTTTAAAGGCTCGAATCACATGACCGCGGGCTTTGGTGGAAGAGATCCGAAAATGATCTCTTTTCTAGATTAGGTTGCCCATTGTGTGGCCTAACCGAACACTTCCTCTCTCTAGTGTCAAAATATAGATGTACTAAAAATAAATAAAAAAGAATTAGGGGTAGGCATAAAGAGATTTTTTGTGTGCCGAAAATATGACAACATGTATTTTCTACAAAGTTGAAGCAAGATTCTAAGATCATTGACTTTATTTTCGAGGCCAACACAACAATTTGCTTGCATTGTGCATGCTTGGTTAAAATCCTTACTCGGTTCGCATAATCCACCAAAATATTGTGTACCCAAAAACCTTATTTTCAATGCAATCAGGCAACGAAGGGATCAAATCTAATCTTGTTAAATACATATTGGTCATGTGCCCATGGATATGCAATTATGGAAAAGTATCAAAACTTGTAAAATCGAACAGTCCAATAGTTCAAATTTATGTAGGAAAATCCACTGTTCGGATAAATATTCTTAACACTGTAAGAATTATGTGCATATTGTTGTTGAAGGTCCTAGAATGTTTATTGTTCACTTTTCAGATCTTCACGGTGAAAAGATACATCAATTTCAATTAATTCATCCTTAAGAATGATTAGTTGCAAAATACTACAAACATCAACTTGGTATTTGGATTACATTGTTATATTCATATCATTTTTACGTGTTGATCAACATGTGAATTGACACGAACACGACAAAGATATAAATAAGTTAATCCGAATATCATTTCTCTACCTAGAGCACTGCATGCAAGTCCAATCAAAATCGCGCACGAGAGAGATAGAGATGTATAGGAGTGCGCATATAAAACACAAAACTATATAACATAACCAAAAGGTACTGAACCATCAGTTCACTAAGAAAACTGTTAGGGATCGAATACAAATTATTTGCACAATATTGAAGATGTGAGACATACTTGTATTATTAGACCTTATTTATGTTGACGTGATACATAATATAATATTTCCGGCCCTTGGCTATATATGAGAGTGTACCGTGTTTTATATTAAATTAGAATATCGTTGAACTAAAAAAACTAAACCAATTTACCAAGTTCTGTGAGGCAAATTATTAGGTGTTGGGCAAACCCTTCGCAATCATCATATGCTCAATATTGTTCTGTTAGGTATCTGGTAGCACGTCTTATCAAACATCGACGGTGGCTGAGCTCCGCAGAGCCACGAAAGATTTCTCGCAGGAAATGTTCACTGGAGGCGGGAGATCCGGTCTGGCCTACAGGGGACTACTTTCCAATGGCATGAGTGTAGCTAGCTGTCAACAAGTGTTGCACTATAGGGTTCCCTGACGTGCGAGCAAGAGCAATTCGCGCCGAAGAAACACTTGGTAAGGTATAGTACAGCACAGTGTTGTGCGCTTAGGTGGTTTTGGAGGCGGGGCCAAAGTGATAACGCCTCTGCCCATTGGGAGTGGGCAAAAACTCGTTGAGGCAAGCCTAGGCGGCTGAGGCGCACCTAAAGGTAGTTGGCAGGCATTCCCAGATCCATCCGCGACCCAAAATCAAAGTCAAATTGTCTGGGTAAATCGAAGTTGAAGGCTCTGTCATCTAGGTTTAGGGTTGCAGGGTGTGCGACATCTTCACAAGGAAGATGACGGCGAAGAAGAAGTGGGATTTTGGTCAAGTCTGTTTTTCTTTTAAATGACTTGGCCCAAAACAACGTCGTTTTGATCAAGTCTGTTTTTCTTTTATTTTAAAACCCCAAGAGTCCCCTGTTTCCCTTATTTTTCTCAGCAGTCCCCTATTATTTAAGGTCCAGTAAGGCTTCGCCTCACGCCTAGGTGGGGCTATCCATGGAACGCCTTGCCCACGCCTCCACCTTTTAATACATTGGTACAACACCCAAATGCCATCAAGCTTTTGGGGCACTACCAGTGGAACTCAACTCACCTTCTGTTTTACAAGTCCTACGACAATGGTGATCTTTATAGTTGGCTGCACGATAAATCGAGGCTTTGGGCTATCTCGTTGTGGGAATTGGTTGCAACCAAATTACATTGCTTTCTTTCGATCGCCTTGCTTTGCGTCCATGAAGTATATCACTGACAGAGGCCTCCCATGAAGGAAGTTGTTCAAATGTTAAAAGGAAATTTGATAGTGGACATCAAAGTCCTATTTCTGCTTTGATTTGCTGTCTTTTCCCTGTAATCTTGTGGTTGAAACGTATTGTGAAACCAATAATGTTTCCCGCCGGGGCAATTTCTTGTTTCAGAATCTCACCAAATATAACTGCATTGGTCATGTTTATGTAGTGTGAAATGAATATTAGGCAGCTCCATGCACAGAAATATTTCCGAGTTATTTCCCTTGTTTTCGTTTTACGAGTACAAATCTTCATGCGCAGACCTACTTGCAACAGACCAATTGAATTTTATCGTTGTTTCCGTGAATGAACATAGAATTCATGTCTCTGCGTGAATGGACATATATAGACTCGTTCATTCGTGCGCGTGCGTGTGTGCGTGAGAAAGAGAGCAAATTGGAAATCTTTCTCGCCATCTCTCCCGCTGTGTTTGCATTGGTGAAAACCGGAGTTCACAGCCAAATGGCGGAAGGAAACATAAGTTTTGAGTAGCAGGATGCAAACATAGTTTATGCCTACTTTTGACAAGAAGCCTCAGTTCAAGAAAAAATCTGTAATCTTCAATTCAAAGTGGTAGCAACATTTGCAATGAAAACAAAAGGGCATATTTGTTCTAGAGTATTATTAGCGTATAACAAGTACCTGAGACAAATTGTTTATTCAGAAAAGAATAGAGGCCCTTCCGCAGTTTCAGCTTACGAAATCCGCTGATTGTCAATCTCTACGAAGGGAATGTGATCTACTGTAGGCCAATCTTCTCTTTCCTTTCGGAAACTTTGTTTCAGCATAGGACATTTTCTGATGCAGAGGTAAGATAGATGTTTCATCCCGTCTTTCGGCAAACATTGGAGCTTGCGGCAGTGGCTGATTTCTAGTTTTTCAAGGGCAGTCAGTTGTTGCAGCCCCTTACCAAGTGATGTGAGATTTGGAAATCCACATATGGAGAGAGAGGTAAGAGAGGTGGGCAGCATCCCCTCCTCTGGAAAACACTGCACATCAGACCGTTTTCCACCCATGATGCTAAGACATTTAAGGGACACCAGAGCTTTCAGCTTCCAATGTAATCGCTGCGCAATGAGTTTGTCGCAATCCCAAATATAGAGGCAATTCAAGTTCAAGGGCAAACCCCCATCAGGAAATGACATGAGTTCTGGGCATCCGGATATTTCCAAGGTCTGAAGAGATAGGAGTTTGTTCATCCCCTTAGGCAGCGACTTCAACTTCAAACAATCTGTTGCTCTAAATTGTGTCAGGTGCGGTGCTGGCAATCCTATATCGGGGAATGAAACCAAACTCGGACAATCCCATATTTCCAAGAAACTCAAACACTGAAGCTCATGGTTAGGTTCACCTGAAATGGAAAGTGATTTCAAACTCTTACAGCTTCGGATTTTGAGATTGTTTAATTTTGGGAAGATGTCCAATGGAAAAAACTCGAGGGAATCACAGCTTCTCCATATGGACAAACTTTCAAGGGATGCATAGTAGCAGTCAGAAAGAATATCTAACTGTCCACATCCCTCAATTTCCAGGGCTTTCAGTGTACGAGGTAAGCTATCCCGAGGGAAGGATGCAAGAGAAGAACAGTTGGAGATAAACAACTCTTGAAGACAAGATGTCGCTTGCTTCACGTTGCCAGGTATAGACTCCAGCACATGGCATCCTTCAATTCTGAGCCAGTGCAGCTCAGCTGGCAGTTCTTTTAGCTGCCACATATCACAGTGTCCGAACTTCAAGCCATGGATAGATGGTGCCCTTGGAAGTGAAGCCACCAGCTGCTGGCATTCAAAAATCCAAACTGATGTCAAAGATGGAAGATAGTGGGGTAAATCCCCTCTGAGCTTAGGACACCGTTGCAGATGGAGCTCCCGTAGACAAGGGAAAGCACCAACTTCGTCACCACCTCCAAAACCAGACCATTCAAGCCACTCTGACATACCATCAAACTTCAAAATTTCTAGGGATCTAAATGGCTTATTTACTGAAGAACAAGTACCATAAAACTCAGAACCTACCATCCTTACCCCGTCAAATCCAGAGATGTAAAGCTCCTTGAGAGATGGTAACGTCCCAAGTGTTGGCAAAACGAAACACCCTTTACAATCTTCAAGATGTACAGTGACCATATTGGTGAAGGAATGATCCCCTAACCAATCTGGAAATCTTGTACCCCCATAATTTTCAATTGTGAGTTTTTTCAAGCTCAAATGAGGTTGGAGCCTTTCAAGTACATTTCTTTCATGATGTGAATCATCAGCATGACCAGCCCAACTGAAGACTAGCACATCGAGGTACTTCTTCTCCTGCATTTTGGCCTCCAAAGCATAATCTTCGTGGACAACATTCTGAAGCTTAGAAATATAAAGTTTTCCGCGAAGATTAGAGAGCTCACCCAACTCTCCAATGTTGCATTCGCTAGTTTCTCCAACAACAAAATCAGTTAATGTTTGTAGACACTTCAGCTTACTCATTTTTCTTGGCATCTCCTTTAGTTTGGTGTGACTAATGTCCAAATGGCGCAAGTTTACAAGTCTTCGCATGCTGGTTGGCAGCCCGGTAAGAGAGGAGCAACATGACAGAATTAAAGTCTGCAATTGGTATAAGGTACTTAAATTTTCAGGTAACCTCTGAATTGAAGTGTGAGAGAGGTCAAAGTACCGCAAAAGCTTCAAATTTCCAATTGATTCAGGCAACTCCATGATGTTGTAATGTGATAGGCAGAGGGCTCGCAAGCATGGTAGCCTTGGTAACAGGTCATTTGTTACCTTGGCAGACAAATGGAATTGTCCATGCAGTGATTGACATGTTAGGGGGAGGAAAGTGCGCAATCGCTTCGCATCATATAACATCTTAAACTTCTCATCATGCATTGTTCTAGAAAATGTCAAATGACGAGTCCTTGCTGATTGGAGAATCTGATTCAACATCATCCATCCTTAGACAAAACTTTCCGGACACACACTTTGCCAGATCATTAACAAGGTCATGCATAACAAAAAGTGATTTGTCGACACTAGATTGTTGAAAAAGTGACCTTGAAACTAGATCATGAAAACACTCTTCTCCCACATGTTCCATCCTCTTCTTTCCTTTTGGGGGTGGTAAAAGATCTGCTGCCATCCACAGTAAGACCACTTCATCTCTTCTGAATTTATAACCTTTGGGGAATATTGAACAATAAGAAAAGCATTGCTTCAGATGTAATGGGAGATAATCGTAGCTCAATCCTAGAGCCGGAAGAATGTTACGTGTGTCATCTGACAAATCCCAGATCTCACTAGTAAGTATATTATTCCAATCCTCAGGATCTTGTTTTGATCGTAGAAGCCCCCCAAGCACTTTTGCAGCCAAAGCAAGCCCTTTGCACTTTTTCACAATTTCTCTACCCATCACTTGAAAGTATGGTTGCTCTCTTGACTCTGGATTGCTGAAGGCATGCTTTGCAAACAACAACCAGCAATCTTGATCACTTAATTGCTTTAGAGAATGAGCTGGAATAGTACCCATGATCGATGCAACATTTTCGCTACGTGTTGTGACAATCACCTTACTTCCATTCACCCCATTCATGAAAGGCTTCCTTAACTCGGCCCAATCAAGGTAGTCCTCATTCCAAACATCATCTAGAACAATCAGAAATTTCTTGGCCATCAATTGATCTTTCAGTTTAACTTGAAGCAAATTCAGATCATTAATGCCACAATCCACTGAAGTGAATGTCTCAGAAATTGTTTTTGTTATACTCACGACATCAAACTCTTTTGACACGCAAACCCACGCCCTGAGGTCAAAGTATTCCTGCACTCTGACATCATTATATACGAGCTGAGCAAGAGTGGTCTTCCCAATGCCTCCCATGCCCACCACCGGAATCACACAGATCTCATTTCTACAAACATCACCATCCGATAGCAACAATCTAATAATGGCCTCTTTGTCCTCATCCCGGCCATAAACAGACTCTTCCACCAAAGATGTTGTTGGTGATCTTCTCGACGCACCATCCGTCATACCTTCTTTCAAGCCAAGAACAGACTTGCTACTCACTATAAAATCTAATCTTTCAAGAATCACCCGTATCTTGGGTTCTAATTCATTGTCAAATGCATTCAATGAAATACAGCTGAAGTGTCGTACCAAACTTTCACTGCTGCTTTCAGCTTCGGCTTCCATCTTTTTCTGCAAAGCATCAGTGTTAGTCTCATCCAACATGTCCTCCGCATCATGGACAGCATCTCTAAGCTCATCAAGCCACTCTTCCACCGCTGAGTCAATAATCTGCTTGTCTTTGGCATAGCTGAGCACAGAATTGACAGAAAGCAAAGTGACCTTCAGCTTGCTCAGAAGTCTGCTGTCAAGTTTCTTTCCACGCAAGAACTCCACAACTTCACGAGAGGCCAACAGACCAAATAACGTCTGAAGAGAAGCAGAGAGAAAAGCTCCACCCACCAATGCAGCAGCCATGCCAATATGATATCTTACTTGGAAGGAATAGACCAATGACGCGGGGAAAGCACCTGCAGCTACCAAATTAAACACTTTTATTGATGAAAAGAGGGAAAAAAAAAAAAAAGGGCTTAAGACGACTACTCCCAATGAACTACTCAAGCATTACAAAGCTACTACTAAAACACAATGAATGCTTCTTGAATGTATAGCATCTAATCATTTTCATGTCCCTCCATCGAACCCTTCATTTAAGTCTTCATTGACTGCTAGTTTTCTGGCATCCTTCTCTGCGTATCTATGTATTTTATTTGAGCGTTCATCGTCAAGAGACCAAATTTCAAATTAGGGACCGGAAGATAAATGGAAAATTCTTATGTGGGTAAACTCTCATTTGACCTCCTCACACTGTCATTACACATTATTATGTGTTCACATGTCAAAATTTTATTGGTGGTCATAAATGACATGTAAGAATTGATGATATAAAGAAGACTTTGCTTTTGAATTTGCCAGAATAATGGACGGAATCTAACAACAATAGGTTAATTGACCTATTTCAATTAATTCAGAGAATTAATTTATCAAAAAAAACATAGTTCAGGAAGTCAAATTTCAACTGAAGTAATAGTTCAATAGATCAAACGGTACTTACCCTTTTACATGGGAAATGAAACAAAAAATATTCTTCACAATTTCCTAAAAATGGGAAGCTTGCTAGCTTTTTGTGGAAGCAAACATAAATCCATATAGATATTCAAAATACCCAGGGCCTTCATTTTTTCAGTTTCCTACACTACTGGAAGTCTGAAGCAAAGATTGTACCTTTAGATAACGAAATTCACCACGGGCTTGAGAAATTCCCGAGTCGCCGATCCGGGTCGCCAAGGCTTTTCTGTAGGGAGAAGGAGAGAGAGAGGACAGGGAAAAGGTGGAAGAAAGTAGAGAGGAAGAGAAAGACGAAAGATAAAAATAAGGTTTGTAATTTGGTCTGAAAATAAAGAGTGCGAGAGAGGGAGGCGGACTGGGGAGGAAGTTGTTGGATTCGAAGAAAGACCCTGCCAAACGCGTCGCGTACAGGTACAGTGGAGTCAACAAGGAGCAGTGAACCTAGATTTTCTTCATGGTAACTGCTAGGAAACCATCATGCGGTTGTTGATCCGAATGACGTAAGACTCCATGATTATCTTCCACGTTTTGTAAGAGGGTGATGGTCAAACGCTCATTCTACGTTTTGTAAGAGGGTGATGGTCAAACGCTCATTCTTACTCTTCATATATATCTTTTAATTCGTGATTGTCGGATTGAATAAACTAAAGAAGATTATGAAGAAAAAAAAATTAATAAGGGCTCTTTGTAATACTACACCATCAACAACACCAGATTTTTTCAAAGTGTCGAATATTAAAGCGGTACTCCACAGGTCATGACATAAGCGTAGGAGATATATTTTTTGGTATCGCTCCACTTATTTTGTCACATGTAGAGTCAGTGGCGAATCCAAAATTTTTACATCAGATGGTCCTAAATCAACAAAACAAAACAATTGGACTAAATCTAACAATAATTAAGAGTTTTCGGATTTTAATTATAAAAGCCTCTATAAATTAACAATAATAATATTTGTACGCACCGAATTAATTCAACAGAGAAGATTGCCAATTTGCTAATCCAAACTAATCCAAGAGAGAAGATCATAAGTTAGTCACTTAGTATTACGATATAATGGTATTCCTTTTCACTTGTAAGTGAGAGATCTTAGATTCGATTATGGTCGTAAGTTAGTAGGTACAAACAACCATACATAATACACAAGCATGCTTGATGTTAGTTGGTGCAGGTGCTTGGAAACAAGAAGGATCTGGATGCACTGGATACAGTTATGGAAAATACACTAACGAATTTCATTTAATCTTTCAACAACCCACTTCATGTGGGGCCTATATTGTGGTTCATTTATGACGCAATACCAAGCGATCTTAAAGTAGTGCGATAAATTGGCTACTGCAACCAATTGCTGGTTGGGGTTACTTGGATCAACAATGTAATTAGCCACCATCATTTTAACCCATTCCACCACCTCCATCTTTTGGGCGTCAAATGTTGTCAACTGAGCCAGCCGCCTCCTGGTCGCAATCTCCAACATCAAAATGCCAAAGCTGTAGACATCACCCTTTGTTGTGGCCTTGTTGGATCCCGCCAGGTACTCAGGAGGAATGTATCCTACAGAGCCATCTGGCTCCGTAGTCACATGCGTATGTGACGCCTCCATCCATCTAGCGAGCCCAAAATGAGCAATGTGGGGCTCAAAGTTGGAGTCTAGTATCACATTTTCCGACTTGATATCCCTGTGAATAATTGGGTTGTCCAAGCCATGCAGATAGGCAAGGCCGTCGGCGACACCTTTAACAATCCGAAACCTAGTCTCCCACGATGAGACAGCCCAACGCCGTGATTCGTCGTGCAGCCAACTATAAAGATCGCTATTGGCGTAGTACTCGTAAAACAGAAGGTGAGTTGAGTTCCACTGGCAGTGCCCCAAAAGCTTGATAATATGTGGGTGCTGTACCTTACCAAGTGTTTCTTCTTCGGCGCGAATTGCTCGCACGTCAGGGAACCCTACGGCGTTACACTTCTTTACAGCTACACTCATGCCATTGGAAAGGAGGCCCCTGTAGACGAGACCGAAGCTCCGCCTCCGATGATCATTTCTGGGGAGAAATCTTTCGTGGCTCGCCGGAGCTCAGCCACCATCGAAGTTTGATAAGACATGCTAGTACCTAAAGAACAATAAATCAACATATAATGCAAAGGATGCAAATATAAATATATGTATACACGCACATATATTACTACGCCAAATCTGGATTGAGGAAGAAGCTCTGTCGACGTTAAAAGCATGTATAAAGCGCGTAATTTCATAGCCAATGAAAGCTAAGCGAAATTACAGCTAAATTGCTGGGAATTTGCACCGAAATTGCATAAGTTTGTTTTATATTCCAAAAAGTTCATGTGGAATCAGATTTTAAAGGCCTAAGAAATACCAGGAACCAACCACCGAAAATACATATAAAAAAAAGGTAATGTTAAGGAGATCAAATTTTTTAAACTAAATTAGTAAACCAAATGATGTGGTTATAGATGATTGGATTATTGATCAAGTGTCGATTAACGTGTTTGTTTCTTATTGGTGACACATCATTTGATTTGCATAGTTTAAAAATTTTGGTCTTCCTAGCATTATCCATAAAAAAAAAAATTGCTACTCTTAAAAACTAGGCGTATTTTTAGCTACACCCCTTAGAACTTCATTTTGATCTTATTTTGCTCATTATAACTCAAAAGTCACCACTTTACTCTTTGACACTCAAAAATTATTCCATTTTGATTTGTTGACTCTCTTTTCTTCTATAAACTTATAGATCACCTTTTAAAATATATGTAAGACCCAACACCTAATATGACTATTCATATGTGCAACAAATCTATATATACTAAAACCCAATCAGGGTGGTACTGTGGATGACCAGTGGGCGGACGATTTTGCCCCTGGCTTTTTCCTCCGGTTATTCTTCTCTTTGGTTTTTGGGGAAGCAAAATGCCACTTTTGCCCATTGCTTCCACGCGTCTATCATCGATGAATCCTCTATTTGCTTCCTTATTTTGTTTGACTGTTGTTCTCCCTGTCTACCCATCTATATCTGTTGGGAAAACAAAAAAATTATTAAAAAAAAAATGATTAAAACAGGGCCATGTGGTTTGTGGCACAACTAACAATAAAAATTTATATCTTCTTAATTTTTTAAACCCATGAATAGTTATTGGGAGAACAAAAAAAATATGATTAAAGCAGGGCCACTAGCTTTGTGGCACAACTAACAATAAAAATTTATACCTTTTTAATTTTTTCAACCCAGGTATACTGTTCACAGACAGTAAAGTGGCAAAAATGCCCCTCGGTTTTTGCTCTGTTTCTCTTGCTGTTTCCATATTTGTATAGTCGATTGACTGTTTTACCCATTCACTGCATGCGTCCATCATCCAGTCACCCTCTATTTCGGCTGTGTCTTCTCGAATTGTCTGTTTGCTTCCTTATTTTGTTTGACTGTTGCTCTCCTCCCTGTCTACCCGTCTATATCTGTTGGGAAAACAAAAAAATTATTAAAAAAATGTGATTAAAACAGGGCCATGTGATTTGTGGCACAACTATATGTATAGCTATTGGGAAAACAAAAAAATATTAAAAAAATATTAAAAAAATATTAAAAAAACAGGATCACTTTCTGTTTGCTTTCCTATTTTGTTTGACTGTTGCTCTCCTCCCTGTCTACTCGTCTATATCTGTTGGGAAAACAAAAAAATTATTAAAAAAATGTGATTAAAACAGGGCCATGTGATTTGTGGCACAACTAACAATAAAAAATTATTTCTTAACTTTTTAAATTTATGTATAGCTATTGGGAGAACAAAAAAAATATTAAAAAAATAAGATTAAAACAGGATCACGTAGTTTGTGGCACAACTAACAATAAAAATTTATACCTTCTTAATTTTTTTAACCCATATATGACTGGTAAGAAGATAGAAAAAATATTAAAAAATGTGATACACAGTGAATTTAACGGGGCTTCTCTCATACCACGTGTTGGTCATCGTGAGGTTTGCTTCTTACCGTATACCCACCCTGCTTTTTGTTCCGGTTCCCATACCCATTTCTGCTTTTCCATCGTTTTCGGACCCTGATCTCGAACCTGTACACCAGCGGTGTAATGGCTTAAATGCCCCTTGGTGTGTTCTTTGTTTTTCTTTTGTTTTTCTTTATTCTCTATTTCTCAGTACAGTGGAAGGACGGGATTGCCCCATCCATGTGTTGATCATTGTCAATTGGTTCTTTAGGCTTCTCTATTTCATCGTTTCTTTTCGTCTTTTAATTCCCGTTTGGTCTTCTTTGTCCCTCTCAAACCTTTTTTTCTTTCACTCACCGTTTTCTCCTTTCGTTGTTGACGAATCTGTGTTTTGTCGCTGTCCGCTGTTGTCTCATGCTGTTCAGAAAATTTTGCTTCATCAAAGATATCAAACTCTGTGAGTTTTTTCAAATTTTTACTTTTCCTGCTATTATGGGTTTTTGTGAGCGATTGAATGAGACAGAATTTGGTTTTTGGTTGTGTGAGTTTCTTTTATGTATATGTTTTATTTAAAATGAATTATGTTTGATTAGAGTTTGGTCGACTGTGGTCTATGCGCAGTCTTAGTGTCTGGAATTTTGTCGTTGCCATTTCTTTTTCGTGTGGTCCTTAGCTTCGTGATTTCATTGTTGTAGCTATTGCTATTAGTGATGGTGGCCGTGTTGTTCATTTCTTGGTGTTAAAAGTCTCCATGTCTTCCTTTCAGACCATGGGTGAATAAATTATGGATCGTTTATAGTTTTTGTCATTTTTTACTTTTTGTAATTTTGTGGGAGTTTCTGATGTGTCGTTGAAACTCCCTTTTGATAGGATAAATGGAAAGCGTGCGCCCAACTCCTGTTAATCAATTAAGACCATACACAAAGGAGGACAAAATCAGAATTCGGATATGCAGGATTTGGAAATCGACGATTCCAGGGACTGTTCAAAAGTACACAAACCTGCACTGTATATTGGTTGACGAACTGGTGAGAAATAACTGTCTAATTATTTTACCCAAAGCTCGAATCAACAACTATTAACTCACTGGATAATGTTTATGCTGCCATGGTTTTTTACATGTTAGAAGGTTACACTTAGATATGTTATGATCAGCAAAATGTGTACATCACCTATGTTTTCCTCAATTTTTGCCTTTCTTTACTTATATGTACCATGTGGTGTTTTCTGTTGTAAACTTTTATGTGTTGATGGAATTTTTTTTTAGATTTTGTTCCAAATAATTTAATTGCGTTCATTCGTTGTATTTACTCATGGTAACAATTTGATTCATCTCATATTGTATGTGTTGTCGAGTGTATAATTTGTGTTTTCATTTATTTGTTAATTGATTTTTTGACTTTTTTTTTCCTCTTTTTTAATACGATGTGAAGCAACATGCAGTTGAGGCCTCTACATTCGATGTTGATTATGATGTCATGGCTTCAAAAATTGAAGCTGGTGCATGCTATGAAATCACAGAATTTCGAACTATTAAAATTAGGGGACAATACAAGGTGGTGCCTCATGAAACTCAGGTTTTGTTGACCTCGAAGACAGCTTTCCGAAAATTAGCAAGTGTGTTTCCACCCATCCCTCACCATCGATTTTTCCTCCAAGATTATAACAAGCTCTACCCTCGCTTAAACAAAGTTGACATCCTCACAGGTATTGTTAATGTCTATGTGTATATGCGTGGCTTAAAGTGTGTGTTTACTTCCTAAAATGGAGTTTAATAATGTGCATGTGTTTCTTTTTTGAATGATAAGATGTCATTGGTCGTATAAGTGCTCTGCAGCAGCTGGAACCTAAACAGATTAATCAAAGGGTTGTGCACAAGTGTGATGTGGTTATCCAAAATATTAGGTTATTTTTCACTTCTTATCCCTATTCTTACAAAATGTTTTCAATATTTGTTGCTTTGCTGGTATAAAAGGTCAAAAATTTATTTGTCATTTCTTTATCTACAGAAAAGAGGAACTAACAGTAACGTTGTGGGCAGACATTGCTGAAGCTTTTTCTTCTTCGTCAGCAGAGGGATTTTCTTTTGTTGCATAATCCTCAGTTTCGATTCTTTCATTGCATATATTTGATTACCCAATGTATATTCAACCGGTTTAATCTTTAAATTGTTTAATGTTAACTCTAACATTTTATTCCCATTATGTAATCGTTTTGATCTTACTTTTGGCTTCCGATCTGCATTCATTCACATTAAGTTTTTGTAACAACTTTGTCTCAACAACTTTCTTGAAAAGTTCCCCTTGGAGACATTAAATGCTAATTTTTCTCAAGTGGATGCATTAGGAACGGACTTAACTACTACTAAAACATATAAAACCTTTAACTATACCATAAGTATCATGTTAGACAGTAAATGTTTATGAACATTGAAATCGCATGATCCTTCATATAGTTTTCAATCCCGCAGCAACGCGCGGGTACAAATTCTAGTTTAATTATAAATCTCCATTATGCCTTAACATTCAACAATAAAAAAATATTAAATTAAAAAAATTCTTTTTTGAAGAAATGGAAAAATTTTAAAAATAAATTAATTAGCTTGACGCACCCAAATCACACCCACATAAGAAATTAACATATCTAAGATAATGTGGAGTGAATTTTGAGTTTTGTACAGACGACTTTCAAGTTTTAGGAGCAAAATGGAATCAAAATCGAGTTACAGAGGCAAAGTGAAGCCAATTTTGAGTTTCAGAGAGTCAAGTGGTAACTTTTGAATTATAAAAAATAAAGTGAGATTAAAATTGAGTTCAAGTGACATACCTAAAAATAAGCTTAAAAACTATTGTACCATATTTTTAAAAAGAAAACTAATGAAAGGACTTGAAAACTTTGAGTTTTAATGATAATGACAAAATAAAGGGTAAAGTGAATAATATCATGATTGACTTTTTAGTGTAAAAATATGATTTTTCGTTAAAGTAAGCAGTACCGAGAACTTTTCGTTAAAGTTTCTATTTTTAAAACAACCTTTTGTGGCAATTGAGGTGGACATCCATATCAATGAAATATTCTAATTTATTTAATTAAAACACTAGAGGAAGAAAGAAAAAAAAAAAAAAACCTATCAAATTCCAACCCAAATTGGCGTCGAGGCCATGAATTGGTACCCCAATCAATACCTAGTGTTCTAAAAAACAGCTTAGGCGTTGGACCTGATGGTGCCGATGCGATTAGGTCCGAATAGTTAAGAAAAATCGAGGAGCTATTAGGCATTCGCCTAGGCACTCTTAGATGGCCTAGGTGGCTGTCTAGACGACGGTGTAGGCAGAGTGGAGGTTTCTTGATAAGAAATTCCACCGCTTCGACTCCCTTTCTCTGTGCACCACCACCTTCTTAGTTGTTGCGACTCCCTCTCTCTGAAATCCATTGAAGAAGAGGAATTTACAGCGCAAACAGAAGAAGAGGAAGCAAGAAAAAAAAAGGAGAATGTACATAAGGAAAACGGAAAGAAAAAGAAAGAAGAAGTGGAAAGGAAAGAAGACGAAGCTGATGAGAAAAATGAATAAAAGTTTTCGGTTTTCACACCAAAAAGAAGTCTCTTGACTGATGTGTGAGGGATGTGGACTAGGGATGGAGGGTAAGGGTCACACATGACCGCACACGTGGTGCTTTTTGAAAATTGGGAGGATGCATGCACCTCTTCACACCACACCACACCACACACTGACACAAGTGGGATTTTTATTTTTATTTTTATAAAAATTAGATATAATCATTCAAAATATCTTAACCAATATGGCATATATCTACCTAGGCGCCTTCCTAGACTCCGCCTAGGCACTAGGCGCTAGCCCACCGTCCGACTAGCGATAACGGTGGTGTTGGTTTGTGAGAAAGGGAGGAAGATGGGATTGGAGAGGTGGAGTAATCGGTGGGCCATTCCTCTAATTAAGAGATGATACAAATATGGTATGAAAAATATTATAAGTATAACATTACTCATATTACATTACTCTTGCTTTCTTCTTCCACTGTATTATTATAGGATAATTTTTGAGTATTCACTTTTTAGTTTTGTCCAGTAATAAATTAACACATGTTCATTGTTTTATAAAGTAATGAACATGTCATTGATTTTTCTTGAATTTTAAAAAATAAGGAACACATGACAAATTTTTATTTGGCCAAAAACAATTAATGGCCCATTTGCAACGTCTAAACAATAGACATGACAAGTTCTTGCATGATCCTAACTTGACATAAAATAACACGATCTGTTAAATTGTTATTGGGTCACCTGTTAAAAACATGTTAAGATAACAGGTTAATACAACACGATTTATTAAGATAATATGTATATCATAAAAAGGACAAAAATACGACAAACACGATCCTTTTGTCAGGTCCAATGAAGTCCAAAATTCAATAACTGGGGTATTTTGGTCAGACGACCTACCTTATTCGGCTGCAACGGTTGGTAAATCAAATCCAACAGCGATATCGCCATCGTCTCTCCCAATAACTTAATCCAAACGACCCAAAAAATTAGAAAAACTTAATCCAACGGTTCAAACACACAGAAATTTTAAAAGCTTTTATCAGATGGTCCACATATAATCCCCTAAAAAAACTAGCCGTTACAGAGAGCGTCGACTGCTCTAACGTTCCCTTTTTCTCTCCCTTCTCTCCAAATCCATCAATCCATCACCATTCTTTCTTCGCTTCCAAAACACCAAACCTTGATTTTCTTCTCTAAACCCACCAAGCCCAGTTGTTTCCGGCGAATCTTCTCTCTTTTCCGGTCATATTTTGATGGATTTTATCGGCAAGAACGCCGGAGTGGTGACTCCTGTGAAAGACCAACACGGGTCTCGATACAAGAAGCACGAGAAATCAAGATGCACTGAGAATATGAACCCCAATGTTTCGCCTGGCCCGAAACAAACTGCTTCCCCTGCGACGAAATCGGCGGGGAAGTCCCAGAAATCGGCGTCCAAGAACCCGAACCCGGTTGGTCGTTCGCCCCGGAACAAGATCCGGGAGAGGAAGTTCATCGTTGCGAAGAAGAAATCAAAGAAGGAGAACCCGAACGTCTCCTGCAAGTGCAAAGATAAGGGCAATTCGAAGATGTGCCTCTGCGTTGCGTATGAGAATCTGAGGGCGTCGCAGGAAGAGTTCTTCAAGAAGCGAAACGACAACGTCGAATCGGAGAGTTTGAAGGAGAGCGAAAGAGCTGGGCGTGAACTGGAGGAAGAAATCGAGGAGGGGTTGAGGATTCAGGACCTTCAGATTGAAAATGGGTCGGGTGATATTGACCCGGATAGTGAAATGGGTTGTTCGACAATCAAGAGAAGAAGGGACAAGTTGCTGGAAGAGGCGAGGAAAAGCGTGCCGACGAGTGGGAAGGTGATGCATTTGGTTCAGGCGTTTGAGAAGCTGCTTTCGATTCCGAGCTCGAAGGATTCGGATGAGCAGAATGGGGAGGAGGAAGCGGCGGAAGAGATTGGGAAGAAGGCGGCGAAGTGGGCATTGCCCGGATTGCAGCCTCCTCCTAAGGCGCTGGAAACACAGGTCTCGTCTTCTTCGTTTTTCCCGTCGGACTTGTTCTTGACGTCGGAGAATCTCGGTCTGGATCGGCGAACTTCAGTCTCTTCTTCTTGGGATGGAAGTCTGGGAAGGTTAGCAATTATACTTGATTATAGTTAGCATGAGAATTTGATGCACATCAGATGTTTGTTGTATGTCCTGACTGAGTTTGGTTGTGCTCTTTTGACTAAACAGTGTCTCAAGCAGGACTTCGAATGGGGGGCGAAGGAGCCGAAGAAATGTAATTCTTGTCCTTACTGTTTTTACATTGTTTGGAGATTGAAAATGATTTGACTAACTCAGGTTACCTTTGCATTCGGGTTCGAATTTCAGAGCTCTGAGTCTTCCAGCACAATCGGAGGAGGGAGATGGAAGAAGAAGAAGCAACAGAGAGCCACTAGCGCTAAGCCATTCAAGCTAAGAACAGAGGTAAACTGTGCTGAAAATGAATGGTATCGAAAAGCACTTGAAAGTTTACTTGGTTTGCGTTGCTTCTAACTTTGTTTTGTGATATCAGGAAAGGGGAAGACAAAAGGAGGAAGAGTTCACGAAGAAGCTACAAGAGATGATGATGGAGGAGGAGAGGCAGCGGATACCAATTGCTCAGGGCCTCCCATGGACAACTGACGAACCAGAGGTATCAATACCAATTCAATGTCCCAAATCACATGAAAAGGACTATATTTAAGTGATTTTATTGCTATTGCAAGACGGACAAGGCCGAACCACTAACTTGTATGCATATCTTTGTATTTGTCATCTCAGTGCTTACTGAAACCTCCAGTAAAAGAAATAACAATACCAACAGACCTGAAGCTCCACAGTGACATGCGGGCAGTCGAGCGAGCTGAGTTTGACCATCAGGTGATTTTGAAAACTTCAGCCTTAAGAATATGCGCTTTGTCACTATATTTGCAATCACTCTCGGCTTAGTAGTGCATACAAACTCTGTTTGGAAAAATTGTTTTCAGGTAGCATTTGGGAAATGAGTTTTGCCTCGATTGTGTAGAATTAACTTTGCGACAATGAATTGCTTTTCTGAATACGAATTGCTTTTCTGAATGTGGTTTTAATGCGTGTGCACCCATCAGGTGGCAGAGAAGATGAGCCTGTTTGAGCAATACAAGATGGAAAGAGAAAGACTGCTGAAGGTAAAGAGTTATTGCACTTGATGAGCTTTCTACTGTCGTAGTTATTCTCGACCTGAATTATGAGTTTTGGTATTGTTCTCTTGCAGTTGGCAGAAGAGGAGGAAATAAGAAGATTGAAAAAGGAGCTTGTTCCGAAAGCTCAGCCAATGCCCTACTTTGACAGGCCTTTCATTCCCAGAAGGTACTTGAGATTGATCCGATTGTAATCCAATACATAGACCCTTTCTCTTGAACTTTGTTGCATGTCTAGAACTTTGGCATGATTGTAAACCGATATCCTCAATACGTGCTGCATCCCATCGAACCTTCTTTGTTGAGCGGGATATATTCTGATATTCATTGTATTTATAAGTAGGATGTGATACAGTTTTCTTACGTCGAGTTCATGTTTCTTCGTTGTTAGGTCAATGAAGCATCCAACCATACCGAAAGAACCGAA